TCTGGGGGCTGTCTTCTCAAACCAAAATCTTTCACCTTTGCAATTTTGAGGCTGCAAAGTGTGGAGTACTTCTGGCTCTTATGATGTCCTCAGCTCATCTTTTTTATTGTCCTGTTTTGAAATACTATCTTTTTATTGGTAATATTTTTCAGCAACCAAGTTCTCCTCTGTTCATCTTTGCATGTTGCAGCTTTACTGGAGCTTTCTTTCTGGCCAAATTCAAAACTTTTAACATCATTCAGCTGGGCTCTGCTCTTGATTCTGGAGCGATCTAGCTAAAAGCCCCCAACAGTAGCCATGCCACTGCCTCAACATTAGACTGCTTTGAAATTTCTCCAGCCAGATTTTCTCCTGCTGTAGTGAATCTCAGTCTCCTGCAAAGTATCTAGACATGAGCAATATTTATTCAGAATTTCTGCCAGAACATAACACACATGGCCTGGAGTCCAGCTGCCAATACAGTCCTTGTTCCCAATTGAAACCTCCTAAACCTGGTGTTTACTGGCTGCATTTTTATCAGCATTCTGGTCTTCCAATCTTGGACCAGAATTTCCTATCAAGTTCAGCTTATAATATTCTAGGGCTGCTTCTTCAGCCACCATTTCCAGACTCTTCCCACAAGCCAGATCCAAAGGTTGTGAACCACATGGTCAGGTAGCATCACAAAAATGACCTCACTTTTGGTACCAAAATCTTGTCTTAGTTACTTTCTCATTGCTGGGTCAAAATACTCAACATTCACTAATTGAAAGAGGAAGTTTATTTCAGCTCACGGTTTTTAGAGGTTTTAGTCCATATTTGGCTGGCTCCAAGGCAGGGTAGCATGGCAGAGGGGCATGGCAGAGGAGAAAGTCTGTGGCAGGGCAGGCAGAAAACACTGAAGAGCAAGCCTTTCTTTTCCTTTTATTCCATTCAGACTACAAGGGTATTGGTTGGTGCCACCCACACCCAGGGGACTAAGCAAGTTATCACATACCCTTAGTCCACACACCCATGATTCAGCCCCCTTCAAAAGCCCCACTTATGGGTGTGCATGAGGCTTTAGGGAATATCTAGATATAAGCAGTAATAGTACAGTTAGAAACAAGGGAGATGAAGGACTCACTCCTTTCCCTCCATTTAATTCTAAACAAGCCTACAGTTATTCCTACTTCTATTGTCTGAAAAGGGGTAGAAGATAAAATAAAAACCAGGAGATCTCTGATGCTTTAGGCAAGAGCACATGTGTGTTGGATCTCCCAGCCTGACCTTTCAGTCACCTTTACTCTGCTCCCACCTTATTACAGATTCACAAATATGCACTACATGTCATAAATATAATTAAGATCACAGTGAATTCGGGGATAGGCATGAATGTTAAGAGCCCTTAAGATGACTCATCTCCCTGTCAATCATTCCTGTCAGTCACCCCCGGAGATTCAGGGGGAGATACCTAAGTTGAGGTTCCTGGCCTTTAACCACTTACAAGACCAATTGTTTAAATACATGATGACCAAAAATTATGTATTTTTGGGTTAATTTTTATAAGATAATATAACAGGAATATAAAAATGTCAATTTTATCAAATTTTTTCAACACAAGAATCATCTGGTTGGAATAACACCTGCCTGAGCAATACTCAGGATAGCCCGTAAACATGCTGCACTCAGGGTAAACCTGATTTATACATGCTTTTGTTTGTTGTTGCTGTTGCTGCTTTTGTGTGCTTTGACCTGTGTGCAGTGCTTTTCTGTCACCCTGCAAAAACAATGGGATAAGTGTGTTCAAAGCAAGGGAGAATCTTTCTGGGGGATTAGTGCCAAAGTATCTTTGACTTTAATAAATTTTTAAAAATTTAAACATTCACTATATCTTTGTAATTATACCTCATACATACATAAGGTTGTACATATAACCCATACCATGTGTAAGAACCATTTTTGATAGATTATGGTAGATTAAAAGTAAAAACTTAAAATAGTTTAAGACTTTGGGAATAAAATTATGGTAAAAAAAGCTTGCACTCCAACTAAGTTTTGTGTAACTTTTCCATGAATTAAGAGATTTATTGTTGCTGGGAAAAGGTTGCCCAGTAGGGGACTATAGTTCCCATCCCCTTTTGTTCTTGGATGGGTCCATATGACTTTTTGCCCATGGAATGTGGACTGAAATGGTATGCATCAGTGATTCTCAAACTATCCTTAATAATGGGCCATTTCCCCTAATCTATCATGGACTGATATTTCTGTGAACTAAAATAAAAATAAATTACTAGAAAAAATGATATTTAAAAAGTTATCCCAAATACAAACCCATTTTTCTGTTATTAGACTCAACAGACATGAAATTACTCTGTCAAACTGCTATAAAAAGTTTGCTGTGGGATTTTGTGTAGAGAGATGGGACATCAAGGCCTTTTTCCCAGGAAGCAGCTTTATTCATCTTGGCACTGACTCAGCAGATTCGTATCCAAAGGCTGAGTGCTGAACATGACATAGTTACACCCTTTTACACAATTTTTGTGTCTGTCTCCCTTCTATAGGCATATACTAACATTTTACAGCCTTGTTGGGTATCCATTAACATCCTACAGTCTGGTTGGGTATGATTTATGTTACAGTCACATCACAAATACACATGTACACAGAGGCTGATAGTTACAGCCCCAGCACATTGGGAGGGGCCCTAATGCAGTCCTCCCATTCTATTTTGGGCGAAAGAGCATCATCCTGGTTCAGAGGTTTATATTTCCATAACATCATCACGTGTGTGAGGTCGTTTTTCTTTCGAGCATCGTTAAGCCACTAAGTATTAAAGGTTTACAGTTACACTACTATTATCTTGACTAATGATGAAATGTAGGAAAAATATATTAAGCTTAAGACACAAAAGTCCCTATCAGAAAAGATGAAGATAGACAATAACAAAAATAAGAATTTTTGTAAATGAGAAACACAATAAATTGTGCCATTGAGTGCTTGCCTAGCATGCATAAGGTTTTGGGTATACTCTCCAGCACCAACAAAACAAAACAAATTAAAGATAATAAATAAAAACAAGTATCACATTGAAAAAAATATATTTACAATACACATAAAAACATCAGTTTACTAAGAATATATAAGGTGTTCCTAGAAATCCATATGAAAAAGTCAAATAACCCAATTGAGAAATGAACAAAATATAAACACAGGTATTTTACAGCACAGGAAATATTAACAGGAAATTCGAATTTCAAAATCTGCATACCACACTAGTAATCAGAGAAATGTATATTAAGAGCACCTTTTGATATCAAGTTTCTGAGTTGATAGGGCTCAAGCAAGAACTCGCATACAATTTGGAAATGTCTAAAGTTGAACATGTACAAATATTCTCATGCAACAATTCCATTTTGGACACACAAGTATATACTCTAGATGGCTGCAACATACAAGTAGAGTCACTATATTTAGCAAATAGAATTACAGTATGCTACTATGGTTTATATCCACAATGCCCAGATATATCTATGCCCTTTATATCTAAAGACCCAGGTATTGAAAGCCTGGTCCCTAGACCATGGTGTTGTTGGGAGGTAGAGGGACCTTTAGAAGGTGGAGCCTAGAAGAAGAAATTAAGTAACTGGGAACATGCACTTGAAGCAGACACTGAGATCCTTTCCACTTCCTGTTTCCTTTTGCTTCCTGGCTGCCATGAGGTGAGTGGCTCTCTGCCACATTCCCACCATGAGGTACTGCCTTGCCACAGGCCCCAAATCAACAAAGACAACTCACCATGAACTGAAAAACCCTTTTCGGTTTTTATGTTGATTATCTTGGGTATTTTGTCACAATGAAGTAAAGCTAATACAAATGCCCAAATTGAAATTAAGGTAAACAAAGAATACTTTTTTAGTTGATCTGAAATTCAAGTTTAATTGGGTCTTCTCTACTGTATCCCTACAAAGAAGAAGTGACATACAAGTGTTTATAGTAGCACTGTTTATAAAACCAAAATCTGGATTCCACCTAGATTTTCAGAGGAAACAATGGAAAAACTATATGTTAACAATGGACTATTGGGCAATAGTGAAAGTGAACTACAGTTATAAATAACAAGATAAGTAACTCTTAAACATCAAGTTTAATAAGCAATTCAAAAATATGTATTAATTGCAATACCATTTTCATAAAACTCAAAACCAACTACAACTAAAATATGTTTAAACATACAGATGGGCTAAATGTATACAAGAGAAACTAAATTCAAGATGAGTGTTACTAAGATAGGGCAAAGTTATTAGTATGTTTCATATTAATATGAGGGGTTGGCAATATTCTGATTCCTAAACAGGAAGACACGTTATACTGCTAAGCTTCTAATCTCACACATCGTCTAAAGTTTTTGTTTACATAGAATATAAAAGTATTTAAAAAGAACAATGATCAGGAAGGTGAAAGGAGTTGATCCTCCATTTCCAGATAGCCCATTCCTTTTCTAGTATATCAGGATACATCTAAAGTATAGCACTTGTAACAGCTTGTCTTGCAGTCAGAAAAACAGTCTAAAGTGCTATGCAGCTAGCTTCTGGGAGAAGGCAAGAGGCAGAGTCAGTGTAGCCAAATAATAAGACATATCAAGTAGGCAATCTCTACTAACTACTGTGCTTGCTTGTAGCACAGGAGTGTGTGGGATGGCAGTTTACAGTAGGGTATGAAATACAGCTCCTCTTCTCCAGAGGGGGTCTCAAGACTACTAGGGATACAAGAAGACAGCCACACATTAAGCTGTGTATTAAGTGGGCATGGACTGTAAGGATCTGGACGATCAGAGGAAGAACAAGTTGAGTCCATTTCCCAGTAAGTGCTCTTCTAAAGTCTTTCCACGTGGGGGTTGTAGGTTGTGGGTCACTGACTTCCCCCACTCTACGGTCCCTTTTAAGAAGAGTGATAGTAACGGTAAAGCCAATTTACATACGCTAGCGGAAAATGAAGACCTAAAAGCTTATTGGGGCTCACAGAAGTCTTGATAAACAAACCTCTTCACCGCAATTAAAAGTCCCAATCTTCGTACTCTAACGATAACGCCGCTCACAAAACTCCGCCGTCCTCCGGCGCATGCGCAGTAATCACCAGGAACTCTAGCACGGGCCCGGATGAAGGCGGAGCTAAAGGAGCCTGGGAATACGCCACAGCGTACGTGCGTCCTGTCGCAGGGGGCGGGGCATCCCGTTTTGGTTCCGGGGTGACGGCTGAAAGCTGGTAGGTGAGTATTGAGTGCGAACCGCGCAGCCATGGAGACTTCTTCCTGCTTGCAGGCCGATTGCGAAACGCTGCTTAGCCGCTTTCAGGAGATGGACAGTGTACGCTTCGAGGACTTCACGGAGCTCTGGAGGAAGATGAAGTTTGGGACCGTCTTCTGGTGAGTGACATCTGCTCGCTGACTTCTCGCGCTTGTGGCGGGGTAGCAAGTTGCTTTCTTCAGTCTGTGCCGTGGCCGGGGGAGAGGCCCGGCGAGGGGCGGCCTCTGCCTGCCTGGAGGCGGACGCTCTGTACCTGGCAGTTTCGCTGGGCCTCGATTACTCTTACCAAATGGGAATCTGACCACCCCGGCCACTGTCTTGTTCTTCTGGAATCCCATGTTTAAAAACAAACCAGTGCCCGAGCAAAGACAAAATCCTGCCCGATTGCATTAATTTTTCGTGCAACAACCAACGTTCTCTTTCTAAAGTTCAAATTTGATGTCACTTCCCTTCTCACCTCCCTTCGGTGGTTCCCGTTACATTTGGGATAAAACTCAAATTCTTAACAGGGCTGGCAGTCCTTTGCAGTGCTCTGCCGGTGTTCCAGCCTCCTGGCGCCGTCCCCTCAGCGCTCTCGCTTTATTGCCCCAGCGATTGCCTTTCGCCCTCCACTGGCATTTCCTAAGCCGAGACCCTCTTCCCTACTCCCTTTGCCCACTTTATTCTTCACCCACACCTATGCCCAAATAGCAGTTCCTCCCGGAAAGTTTTGCCCTCCTAGACGTGCTCCGTTTTTTCCCCATAGCACCCTATGCTTGTCTCACCACTTAACCACCTTTAATTGTGTAGTCCAGGAAAGGAGTGCAGGATAATTAATGGTTAAGAGCGCAGATGATGGAGTCCAGCTGTCTGAATTTGAATGCAGGATTTGGGACTAGGATTTGGGGCGAGTTACTTGTTTGAGCTTTCTTATCTGTAAAATACTGTAGAGATGATGGTAATATCTGTGAGGATTAAGTGAGCTAATATAAACCTTAAATACGTTTCAAGTACCCAATAAATATTTGTGTATATTATTACTTTTACATTTTTCTTCCACTAGACTGAACTTGAGAACCATGATTGACAACGTATAATATTAAAAAGGCTAAATAATTGATTGAATGAGACTTTCGGATTAAAACTGTGTTTTGCTGAATCAAATGTAAAGGTTTTCTTTGTTAATGTAAACAAGTTATGTAGTTTGTAAATTATAGGGGCTGGGGGATGAGGAGCTATTTATTGTACAGCTACTGAAAGGAGAACCCGTTTTTTAAATAGCTACCAAATGTAATACACTTATAGCTTAATTTATTTAATCCATAAAACAACTATGAAAAATAAATATAATTATCCTTGTTGTGTAAGTGAAGAAATTGAAGCTTAGGGAGGTTAATTTTTCCCAGATTGCAATTAGAAGGTGGAGCACATGTTGGAATCTGTGTGTCTGCCTGTTTCTAAAATCCATCATCTTTCAGGTTGTATTCCTTGGGGAAAAACAAAAAGGGCACATCAGAGAAAATTTTCAAGGCTTACCCTAATAGGGAAGTAATTTTGAAGGAGGCAGCATGTTCGCTTCCTTGTAATCAGATATAATAAAGCCAGTACTTACTGGCTGCAGAGCTATTAAATGAAAATTTCAACATATTTATATTTGTAAAGTGTGTCAGTTACTTATACCTGTTTAATACACTTTGAGACATTTATTTTACTTAAGAGTATATTAAAAAGATTTTTTGGGCTGGGCATTTAGTTCAGTGGCACCGCGCCTGCCTCGAAAGCCCAAGGTCCTGAGTTCGATCCCCGGTATCAAAAAAAAAAAAAAACAAAGATTTTTTTTTTTTAATCTACTTATTTCAGGTGTCATATAGAAAATGATCCAAAATGTGCTCATATTGGGTCTGAAGTTGTAAGAAGGATGTCATATGGACTTTATTTATTTTTTTTGGTACCGGGGATCGAACTTGGGTCCTTGCTTGTGCAGCAGGTGGCGAAACCACTGAGCCAAATCCCCAGCTCTCATATTGACTTTATTACAATCTTGCTTTTTTTAAAAGTTTTGGTTAGGGTGGCAGTTTCAGATAGTTTATTAGTAATAATTTCAAGTTTCTTCTTTAGTTTCCGATCAAATTGGCAAGTAAAGTTGGTGCTTTTTGAAAGCTGTAGGTCATTACCTAAGCTTGTGTGACAGTGTCAGAAGGACAGCACTAAAGTAGCCTTTTGTTCTTGAATCCAGGAAAGGTCATGTAGGAAATCTTTATACCATTACTGGCAATTGCTTTTAAATAAGTATATACCTGTTCTGTCCTTTTTCATCATTTATTTACTTAATGAATCATAATATTTTTTTGTTTTGTTTTACAGTGGCAAAATGAGAAATTTAGAAAAGAACACATTTACAAAAGAGGCTTTAGCTTTGGCTTGGAGATATTTTTTACCTCCATATACCTTCCAGATAAGAGTTGGTGCTTTGTATCTGCTGTATGGATTATATAATACCCAGCTGTGTCAACCAAAACAAAAGGTAATGTTGGTGAGTTGTTTTCCTCCAGTAGAAATGTGAAACAAGTACCTTATTCATTCTACAATATGCTGACTTAAATAGAAATAGCGTGTTTTAAAATTTAATACATTTACAAATAGAGACTTATGATTTGTACAATTTTTTACTCTTTATTATTGCAGATTAGAGTTGCTTTGAAGGATTGGGATGAAGTTTTAAAATTTCAGCAAGATTTGATAAATGCACAACATTTTGATGCAGCTTATATTTTTAGGAAGCTACGACTAGACAGAGCATTTCACTTCACAGCAATGCCTAAATTGGTATGTTGCCTTAAGTAATTGTCTTTTTCAAAATGAGCAGTTGTACTTTATTTTCCAGAAAGCACCTCAATCTACAGAAAAATGGAAAGACTATTAGTAGTGTTCAAGACTTACAGCCTTCTTAAAATAGAAGAAAATGTTACTTTTTTTCTTGCAAACGAAGTTCAACCTCTGCTTTTGAATGTCGTATGTTTCTGGAGGCCATGTATAAGCAAATTTGGGGGAGAGGAAATGAGATTTAGCAGCTTCATGTGCATGTATCTTTTTAAATTTGAAAGTCTGAGGAGTTACCCAAAGAGGACCAAGGAATTTTAACTTGTCAGTTGGTGACAAGGTGGAACTTCTCTTAAAATCTTATTTCTTTAATCTTGTGACAATTCAGATACTAGGTTGAAGAAGTTCTGATTCTGCCATTACCTGGCAAATTGTTAACTTCTGAATCTCATTTGAATTTATAACAAGGTGGCTTGGAATCTAATGGGACAGTCCAAATCTATAGTCTTTGGAAGATGAATATTTAATAAATATTTAATAAATATACACTTAGAGATGCTTTTGTTTTATTCATATTTATTGATGGTTTGTACTGCTGACTTATTTTCAAAATATCTTTTAATAGACATGCATTTTAAAAGACATTTCCTATCTCATAGCTTTCATATAGAATGAAGAAAAAAATTCAACGAGCTGAAATTACAGAAGAATTTAAGGACCCAAGTGATCGTGTAATGAAACTTATCACTTCTGATGTATTAGAGGTAAATTTGCTTTTGTGCCCTTGAATATAAAAAAAATTTTATTGTCAATTGTATATTGAGGTTATAACTTACTCTACATATGTAACTAACTCTATTAATCTGTTAGCAAAAGGCATTTATTTCCTAAGTTCCTTTTTTAAAGCACTTATTTCTTTCCTTTGTTTCTTTTTACAACATTTATTTAATTGGATGGTAATTGGAGATGGACAGTATTGAAAAATCTTTTTTTGGCATGGGTGAGTAGTAGTACTCACAGACTTCTACAAGGGCAGAAAAGCATTGCCCTAGGGTTCTGACAATCCCAATGCTAGGTTACATATGCCCTTCTAATCAGTGACGTTTCAAAAGAATATAGTCAGAGGAGGAAGTGGCAGGGACATCTTGGTCACATTTATTTCATCTCTTGGAACCTTAATTTTCTTAATACTAGGATCACAACCTTTTTTTTCTGAGACAAGATCTTACTATGTTTCCCTCACTTGAGCTCAAGGGATCATCCTACTTCAGCCTGCTGAGTAGTTGGAAATACAAGTACCCTCACCTCACCTAGCCATGACTGCAATCTATATTCTGTCCAGTTGTGAGAATTGAAATGAGGTGAAGCCCGAGTAGTACTGAGTGTGACATGTAGCACATAGTGGATCTGTAAGAAGTGTTACTTCTGTTTTTCCAAACTCTGTTCACGCTTCCTAAATCTGCAGTGAAAGAGGAATCAGACCTTTGATTTGCTTAAGTATTCATATACCCCAGAGTATCTGCCTGCCCGGTTGCCACTGTGTTCATAATTCAGGGAGCAAATTGATTTGAAAGCATTCTAGCCTTGTTCCATAAAGTGACTTTATTTTTGAGAATAAATTTTAATCTGGAAACCATGAGTGGCTTTCTGATGGTTCACCCCCCTCCTCCACTACAATGTGTGAAGAATTGATGTTGTACATCTGGATACTTAAGAGTGAGGGCTGAGTCAGTATGCTTGGCTTCTCAAAGTTATTCATGTCTCTAAAAAGGTTAAGAATAGAAGGAAATGACATGTTTACCATGAATGTCTGAAGACATAGTATAATACAGACACTATGCAGGATGCTTTGTGTAAACCATTTTCTTCTGCCATATTCCTGCAAAATAGATGTATTTATTTATTTATTTATTTATTTATTTATTTATTTGGGTACTGAGGATCAAACGGGTCCTTGAGCTTGCAAGGCAGGCGGTAGAACCACTGAGCTAAATCCCCTGCCCCAAAATAGATGTTTTTAATAGTTTTTAATTATTTTTTATAGTAGACATTCTTATC